TTGATGCAGAGAAGGCTTTTGACAAAATTCAACAACCCTTTATGCTAAAAACCCTCAATAAACTAGGTATTGACGGAACGTATCTCAAAACAATAAAAGCTATTTACGACAAACCAACAGCCAATATCATACTGAATGGGCAAAAACTGGAAGCATTCCCTTTGAAATCTGGCACTAGACAAGGATGCCCTCTCTCACCACTCCTATTCAATATAGTACTGGAAGTTCTAGCCAGAGCAATCAGGCAAGAAAAAGAAATAAAGGGTATCCAAATTGGAAAGGAGGAAATCAAATTGTCTCTATTTGCAGATGACATGATTGTATATCTGGAAGACCCCATCATCTCAGCCCAAAATCTCCTGAAACTGATAAACAACTTCAGCAAAGTCTCAGGATACAAAATCAACGTGCAAAAATCACAAGCATTCCTATACACCAGTAATAGACTTCAAGAGAGCCAAATCAAGAACGAACTGCCATTCACAATTGCTACAAAGAGAATAAAGTACCTAGGAATACAACTAACAAGGAACGTAAAGGACCTCTTCAAGGAGAACTACAAGCCATTGCTCAACGAAATAAGAGAGGATACAAACAGATGGAGAAACATTCCATGTTCATGGTTAGGAAGAATCAACATCGTGAAAATGGCCATACTGCCCAAAGTAATTTACAGATTCAATGCTATTCCCATCAAGCTACCAATGACCTTCTTCACAGAACTGGAAAAAAACACCTTAAACTTCATATGGAACCAAAAGAGAGCCCGCATAGCCAAGTCAATTCTAAGCAAAAAGAACAAAGCGGGAGGCATCACACTACCGGACTTCAAACTATACTACAAGGCTACAGTAATCAAAACAGCATGGTACTGGTACCAAAACAGAGATATAGACCAATGGAACAGAACAGAGGCCTCACAGGAAATACAACATACCCACAACCATCTGATCTTCGACAAACCTGACAAAAACAAGCAATGGGGAAAGGACTTCCCTGTTTAATAAATGGTGTTGGGAAAACTGGCTAGCCATGTGCAGAAAGCAGAAACAGGACCCTTCCTGACACCTTACACCAAAATTAACTCCAGATGGATTAAAGACTTAAACATCAGACCTAATACCATAAAAACCCTAGAAGAAAATCTAGGCAAAACCATTCAGGACATAGGTGTAGGCAAGGACTTCATGACCAAAACGCCAAAAGCAATGGCAACAAAAGCCAAAATAGACAAATGGGACCTAATCAAACTCCACAGCTTCTGCACGGCAAAAGAAACAGTCAGTAGAGTGAATCGGCAACCAACAGAATGGGAAAAAAATTTTGCAGTCTACCCATCTGACAAGGGGCTGATATCCAGAATTTACAAAGAACTAAAGCAGATCTACAAGAAAAAAACAAACAAGCCCATTCAAAAATGGGCAAAGGATATGAACAGATACTTTACAAAAGAAGACATACAGGAGGCCAACAAACATATGAAAAAATGCTCATCATCACTGGTCATCAGAGAAATGCAAATCAAAACCACATTGAGATACCATCTCACACCAGTTAGAATGGCGATCATTAAAAAATCGGGAAACAACAGATGCTGGAGAGGATGTGGAGAAATAGGAACACTTTTACACTGTTGGTGGGAATGTAAATTAATTCAACCATTGTGGAAGACAGTGTGGCGATTCCTCAAGGACCTAAAAATAGAAATCCCATTTGACCCAGCAATCCCATTACTGGGTATATATCCAAAGGATTATAAATCATTCTACTACAAGGACACGTGCACACGAATGTTCATTGCAGCACTGTTTACAATAGCAAAGACCTGGAACCAACCCAAATGCCCAACGATGATAGACTGGATAGGGAAAATGTGGTACATATACACCATGGAATATTATGCAGCCATCAAAAACGATGAGTTCACGTCCTTTATAGGGACATGGATGAACCTGGAAACCATCATTCTCAGCAAACTGACACAAGAGCAGAAAATCAAACACCGTATATTCTCGCTCATAGGCGGGTGTTGAACAATGAGAACACATGGACACAGGGAGGGGAGCACTACACACTGGGGTCTGTTGGGGGGAAAGGGGGGGGGGGCGGGGGGGGGGGAGGTGGGGAAGAGATAGCATGGGGAGAAATGGCAGATACAGGTGAGGGGACGGAAGGCAGCAAAGCACACTGCCATGTGTGTACCTATGCAACAATCTTGCATGTTCATCACATGTACCCCAAAACCTAAAATGCAATAAAAAAAAAAAAAAAAAAAAAAAAAAAAAAAAAAAAAAAAAAAAAGAAGGAAAGTAATCAAACACGTAAGAGACAGAAGAGAAAAAGGTTATTTAGCAGAGGAGTTTAACATAGAGCTTAACAGATTTAATAAACAAACAAACAAATGAGAAAAAAAAAAAAAAAAAAAAAAAAAAAGAATGACACAGTGGACTTCGATGACTTGGTGGAGGTGGGGAGGCACAAGGGACAAAAGCAACAAATACAATGCCGTGTATACTGCTCAGGCGATGGGTGCACTAGGATCTCACACATTACTAAAGAATTTACTCATGTAACCAAATACCACCTGCACCCCAATAACTTGTGGAAAATAAAATAAAATAACAAAGAAAAAAAAAAAAAAAAAAAAAGAAATGCAAATCAAAACCACATTGAGATACCATCTCACACCAGTTAGAATGGCGATCATTAAAAAATCTGGAAACAACAGATGCTGGAGAGGATGTGGAGAAATAGGAACACTTTTACACTGTTGGTGGGAATGTAATTAATTCAACCATTGTGGAAGACAGTGTGGCAATTCCTCAAGGACCTAAAAATAAAAATCTGACTATTGTTAAAAAAAAAAAAAAAAAAGGCTGCTACAAACATTCACATACAAGTCACTGTGAGGACGTATGTTTTCATTTATCTTGGGTAAATATCTAGAAGTGAAATGGATGGGTCATCTGGTAAGAATAGGTTTAACTTTTTAAGAAACCACCAGTTGGCTTGGGCATCGCAGCTCACGCCTGTAATCCCAGCACTTTGGGAGGCTGAGGTAGGCGGACCACTTGAGGCCAGGATTTGAAGACCAGCATGGCCAACAAGGTGAAATCTCGTCTCTACTAAAAACACAAAAATTAGCTGGGCATGGTGGCAGACACCTGTAATCCCAGCTACTCGGGGGCCTGAGGCATGAGAATCCCTTGAACCCAGGAGGTGGAGGTTGTGGTGAGCTGAGATTGTGCCACTGCGCTCCAGCCTGGACAACAGAGCAAGACTCTGTCTTAAAAAAACAAACAAACAAACAAACAAACAAACAAAAACAAAACAAAACAAAACAAAAAAACCAAGAAGAAGAAGAAAGAAAAGACAAAGAAAAAAAAGAAACCGCAGTTTCCCATAGTGGTTTTACAATTTTACATTTCTGCCAGCAGTATGTATGAATTTAGAACTATCCTACACCCTCCATAGCAATTTTTATGATCAGTCTTTTTTCACTGCAACTATTCTAATGGATGCATAATGCTATTTCCTTATGGTTTTCATTTGTATGTCCCTAATAATAATAACACTGAACTTCTTTTCATGTGTTTGTCATCAATTTGAATATATTATTTTAGTGAAGTGTCTGTCAAAACCATTTGTCCATACTTAATTGGATTGTCTGTGTTATGAATGAATTTTAGGAGTTCTTTATATAGTCTAGATACAAGTCCTTTGTCAGATATTTCTATTTTCCCACATTCTGTGGCTTATCAAGGATTTTAGATTTTGTGCCCTAATAAATCTTTGCCTACCCCAACATCACAAAGATTTTCTCCTATTTATACTTCCAAAAGTTTTCTAGTTTTAAAAGAAGTCATTCTTGGAGAAAAACACATTTTTAGAATCAATGCCTATCACCTTAATTATATTAAAAAATTTAAGGGACGCAAGCCTTTGATACCACTGTTACTCTTTAGATTTCAACATAAAGGAAAAACACAGTACATAGTTATATAGAAGTCTTCACATTATCCAATTTTATATTATTTCTTTATATTTGATTTTTCTCATACCAAGTAAACGCATTTCCAAATTAACCAACACACTAAAATAAATCCTAAAATCAGTTCTTATTTCTTTAGTAGGTCAAATGAAAACCTTTCATAAATTTTTAAATATATGTATCAGGACGATAATTTAATAGCTAGAAACCAAGTGGAACGATATATAATAAAAAGATATACTAAAATATATACAATATTTTATATAGCCAGTATAAGCTTAAAAGAATAAAGCATTTGCAATTAAAAATCTCAATATGATGTAAGAACATCACTTGAGATAGTATATACAGCTTAATGTGATAGTATACTGTACTTCTTCATAAGCCATGCAAATTATAATAAAGCTATTACTGAGCATCTAAAAAATTCCTTAGACAATTCATTTACTGTTACGTTACTCTGTACTTTGTTCTTTACAAATATTTTATAATAAAAAACATCTTAAGAAGTAAAATAAATAATAGAATGGCTCTTATATGTTCCAAAGTGGGTGGGAGTGGGGACAAAATGATAGCCATCTTGCCTAGCAATTTAAGAAACATATTTGAACTGTATGGTTTATGTATCATATATATGTTAAATTATGGGTAGGGAGAGCTATCACAAGATATCTAAAATACTAAAGGCAGTATCTTACAACACTTTTTTTTCCTTAATTCCCTCCTTCCCTATTCTTACTCTTCTGCTACTTCCTCTCTTTTTTCTATTTCCTATTTACAACTCAAGCTGTTGGCTGGACTCAAGGGGCTTTGCTTAAGCACCCCAACATGATTTCAACTCTAATCTGAAAAAAATAAGGTGCCAACAGTTATTAACACGCAGTGTCAATCATCACAATAGTTGTAGGGAAGTTGCTTTTGATTTAAAAGGCACCAAGCTTTTCTTTCGGCCAGCTTATTCAAATAGTGTCCCAAAACATGTATGAACTCTGGCAAACAGGTTTCTTACCTTAGAAAGTGCCTCATCGTGAACTACGGTATTGGTTGTTAAAAGAACAAGAACTGTTTGAAGTAGCTTAAGTTCTTCAAGACTATTTTCCATTAGCTGCCAAAGCATGTTAATTATATTTCCAGCTGCAGTCTGTAAAACAGTTTTTTTAATTATTGTGAACAAATAAAATATAGATGTTGATGTCCCTAATTAAGAAAAGGTATACAAACCTACCTCAGTTGGAGAGGATTTCTTGATCACAATAACAAAAACCGTATTTTTAGATCTCTAGATCCAAACACGTCTCTCAAGTAATTTAGCACTTACAATCAATTAATTCTCTCCCTCAAAAAAGTAAATTTTTAAAAAATATAACAGCCAATTTGAATATACAAATAGCAGCAAGCAGTTTTGAAATACTTAGTCAAAATCGTAGCTCATTTCTACAATAATATTGATAGACTGTATATGGATATAAATAATATGGACATATGCAATTTATGAGTCTGCTGTTTCAGACACATTACTTCATCTACAGCATGTTACAGAAAAAAATGCAACCCATATTAATAACACATTGGCACACTCAATTAAATCTGACATTATTTAAGATGATAAATTAACAGCAAAACACTTATTACTTCTATTATAGTACTTATAGAGTACAAAATTAAGATAACACCATTAAATTTGAGACCAAAATGCAGATTCATGGTTAAGAATTTTTTTAAAAATTTTTCCATCATAATGTTAGATACAAACAATATGTTTAAGTTAATGAAAAACAAATTATTGCTCCACATAATCTAGGAAGGAGAGTTATGATCTTCCCTTCTCTTTGTAAAAGAAAAATTAAATAACCAATTAAATTGAAAACTTGCTTGAGTCTCAAAATTTTCATCTATATTACTGAATGGTGACTTCTTAGATTACAAATGACTTGAAAAAATAACTGTTTGTGAATGTGTAATGAGGAGAAGATTTGACAGTATTTTTAAATAAAGCTGTTTTCTCCAAGCACACTGCTATTCCTAAAATAGTTTTATATTAAATCTCAGGTATGCTTCATTCTCCTTTCATGAAAGCTCCTGATTCAACTCTTAGGTGCAGTTTAGATAAAATCTTTGTATTACCTCAGACACGACTTCATGTGACATGAGTCTCTGAATAGCAGCCAAACACAGCTGAGTGATCTTCGGTTCCTTGGTTCCACAACCCATTAAAAAAGGCTGTACAACCTCTGAGCTGTTCTCTTTCAGTGCTTCATTTAGAACACATATAAAGTAAATTATCAAAATTAATCTATAATTAAGAACGCATTTTTATATAATTACAATCAGTAATAGTTATCTTAATAAAAATTACTTTATGTAAAATAAATACCAAAACAAAAATCAAGCTTTAAAATACCTTGGACAGACACTCCGGACTCTATATCTAAACTATATGCCTGAACTACTGCTTTCCCATGCTTTTCTCCTAACACTCTGTCCTTTGGTTCTCCTCCAGCTTCTGTTACAAACTCTATTAGGACATGGAGTCTCAAAATTTCTCTCCCACCTCAAAAAAGCACTGTTTCTTCATACACTGCAGGAGGGAAAACATAAATGAGAATTCCCACCCTAGAATAGAATCATTAAAGATAGTACATACATCATCCCCACAATACTTGTAAATGAATACTTAGAAATTTCCTAGAATTTTACTATATGCCTTGAATTTAAACAGCCCTAATTTCGCCAAGAAATAAACCTATTTCATTAAATACAATAACATTACTCCTCTTATTTCTGAAACAGCCAGTTTAAATTAATTAGATGCACATGCTGTAATTTCAAACCTTAATTTAACTTCTACCAATCCAGCTCACTCAGAAGTTTTTAAGTGGCAATAAAAATGTAAGAGGTTAGAAAATGTACAAACTGAATTATACATAATTATTCATAATTTACAAAACGAAATTAAATCTATACACATTTACTGAAAGGCTACACAAAGATGGATAAGGCAGGTTTGTCATCCTTTGGGAATCTGAATAAATGACATAGAACTGCAAGTCGAGAGAACATTAAACTTATAAGCGAGATTTATTATTAAAAGAACTAACTCTATCAGTTGTTTTTTGAGGCAAGACATGCAATAAAGACATATAAATTTAAGTTTTAAAATGCTTTTCAAAAGAAATTCACACAAAGTCATCCAGAATCACCATTAAAAATGTAAAACCAGTGTTAACACAAATTTTATAATTTAAATCCTCACCTTCTTCTTCCAAAGCTCTCTTTATGGTATAGTAAATGAAGACTACGACTTCCTACAGCCTGCTCTGCAAAGTCCCTCAGTACGCCAGCATAAATTACTGATTTAGCACAGCTAAAGATGGCAAATATAACTGGCAAAGAACAGTGTTCCCAAAAGGGCTCCCTGTCCTTACTCCCTTGCTGTCTCATACACAAAGGCTTTTATTCAAACCTAGGGACAAATTTTCCTAAATGATATGAATAATGATTAAACGATGATGACCAGAAAGCTCCTAATAAAGCTTCAATAAAATGATTAAATGTCCTACCAGATTTAATCCTGACAGAACCACTTAAGCATGATGCAACCCCTACCTCTGCTGAATACTCATTAAACATTATTCATGCATATAAAAGGCTCTCAACAGTAACCAAGTTACACTTATAATTTTTATGTGTTAATGTATGTTTCTCCTTTCAACATCACAATAATCTGAGAGTTTACAGGCTCAGCCTGATTTGGCTTTACTGATACAGTAACTAGGTAGTAAAGCCAGAATTTGAAAATATGCTGTCTTCTAACTCCTGGTTCACTCTTCTTACAACATTATGCTGCCCTTCCTTCTGGTACATAGTACGCTGATAATAATGGAAATTAAAAGAGGTCCCAGTGATTTGCACTTTAAAGTCGTCTGCCTGAAGTCTTCAGACAAATAAAGGAAAATGAACTTGTTTTCATAAAAAACAAAACAAGATGTACTTTCATAGGGTCTAGGATGCTAATGATTTTAAGGCATACCCATAATATCACAACAACAAAAAAATCAGTGCCAATCAAACTATGACACAATGCTTTCTAATCATTTAGAATTTTTCTTCACAATTTCATCCTCTGGGCCATCAACAGCACTGGGAATGAACACCTTATTTCTTGAAAGAGTACTTCACTATTGTCTCTGAGATTTTCTTCCAAGTCAACGGCAACCATTCTGCATGTTTTGATGCTGGTGCTTTTTTGATTGTACCATAAGATGGTAACAGAAAGTTTTCAACAACTATGGTGACGTTTTAAATAGCAATTAAACTCAACATATGTGGTATCAACAATGCATGCAACTCAACTGATGTGATAATAACATGAAGAACCATAACAAGTTCATGCACACATTGAAAAAGATAACTACAACATCACCTGGCTCACAGTGATTCTAAGATGCCATCAACTGCAAGATGCATACCAATCAGGGGATGTTAAAAGATGAAAAAACTGTGCATACTAAGATCAACAAAGTAAGGTGAGTCATGGTGAAATGCCGTATACATGTCAGCTACAACCAGTTCTATCAAGCTGAGATAAGGTAGTATTAAAAATTAATTCGTTATGAATTTATTTTAATGTAATTCAAAGGAATCAAACATCTATTTCTCATCTTTTCCCTCCGAATTTATGAGAACACAATAATCAAAAAAGAAGTTTCTTTGTTATCTAGAATAAATGATCAACAAAACAATAAAATCTATTTATCTAACCAAAGTCTTTTGAAGTATACTTTGAAAAACAAAAAAGCTTCCACTGTATTGAGATTGTAATTCAGTGAGAAAAATCATAAGGAAAAAAAACACAAGGAAAAAAGTTATTGCTTTTCCTTTTTCTCTTTAAAAAGTGGTAACAGTCCAAAGAAGTATAAATTAATCTTGCTCTTCCAACTGAGAGATATCCACTCTCCACAATAACTTTAATAATACGTCAGGTAATGATAACTTTACATAAATACCTTCCTACAGACTGAGATTTTAGGAATCAAACTGAGGAAAAGGCTCTACAGCAATATAAAGAAGACATTTTACTTTAACCATTTTGTATGTCATTCCAGAAAAAAAAAGAAGCTGATTCTTTTTGATCAAAGTTATTTGTTTCTATTTTCATTAAAACACAAAAATAGGTTATGGAGAAGGATAAAAGAAGAAGTTTATTTTCCACCTAAGTCCCTCAGTAAGTGTAACTCTTTAACAGAGTAACACTGTGTGTTGGATAAATATTGTATTTCCGAATTATGTAACTGTGAGATCAAATGATGCACTTTCACACACCTGAAAGAGGTCCACCAGGTCCCCATATCCTAAGAGTTTCCTTGCTCTGAGCAGTTTCACTGCATAATTGCAGTTTTTATCCTGGAAAGAAAGAATTAAACTAGGATACCCCACTATGAATCATATTAACAGGGGTTAATAAAAATTTTATTGTGAAAAATTTTAACAGCTATTAAAGAATAAACTTCAATTCTTGTGAAAGAGAGAAAATATGACTTAGATATTACTTTGATACTCAAATTGCTTAAAATCTAGTTCTGGGCAAGACTGATAATCCTAACAACATTAAAAAATATTTTAAGGCCGGGCGCGGTGGCTCAAGCCTGTAATCCCAGCACTTTGGGAGGCCGAGGCGGGTGGATCACGAGGTCAAGAGATCGAGACCATCCTGGTCAACATGGTGAAACCCCATCTCTACTAAAAATACAAAAAATTAGCTGGGCATGGTGGCGCGTGCCTATAATCCCAGCTATTCAGGAGGCTGAGGCAGGAGAATTGCCTGAACCCAGGAGGCGGAGGTTGCGGTGAGCCGAGATCGTGCCATTGCACTCCAGCCTGGGTAACAAGAGCAAAACTCCGTCTCAAAAAAAAAAAAAAAAAAATTTAGCTGAGCACAGTGGCTCACACCTGTAATCCCAGCACTCTGGGAGTCCGAGGCAGGTGGATCACAAGGTCAGGAGTCCAAGACCAGCCTGGCCAACATGGTGAAACCACATCTCTACTAAAAATATAAAAATCAGCTAGGCCTGATAGCGTGTTCCTGTAATCCCAGCTACTTGGGATGCTAAGGCAGGAGAACTGAACCTGGGCCTGGGAGGTGGAGGTTACAGTGATCCAAGATTGTGCCACTGCACTCCAGTCTGCGCTACAGAGTGAGACTCTGTCTCAAAAAAAAAATTTCGAAAGGTCTGAAAATATATTCAAATGATTCAAGAATGAGGACAAATAAAAGCCTAGGCAGTTTCACATTAAAAGCACATTACAGGAAAAGGAAGGGCTATTTAACAAATGACGTTGGTTCATTGGTTAATAATTTTGCAAAAGAAAAAATCAAAATCCTCACATTACCCTACATATTATTAATTAAGAAAAAAAATCAAAAATCTTCTTTTGTAGAGCTACAAAAGAAATAAGAAAAATTAGTTAGATTATGTAAAACTGAAAGGCACCTAGATTAAAAAAAGCAAAGGGTAAAAGGCCTGGAAAAAATATGATATAAACATGATGCAAGGTTAATATTTTCCTGTATCAATAGCTCAAGCAATTTGACAAGGAAAAAACAAAAGTTTAAAGAAATGAATATAAATTTTTAAAAAAGAATAATTTAACACAGAGAAAAATGATCAACATCTAGTGAAAGTGAGAAGTCATGCCCCAGTACTGTGGCTTATGCCTATAATCCCATTGCTTCCAGATGCTGAGGTGGGCGGTTTATGAGTTCAGGAGTCCGAGACCAGCCTGACCAAGATCATGAAATCCCATCTCCACTAAAAATACATTAGCTAGGCATGGTGGCGAGTGCCTGAAGTCCCAGCTACTTGGGAGGCTGAGGCAGAAGAGTCGCTTGAACCCAGGACGTGGAGGTTCCAATGAGCCAAGATTGTGCCACTGCACTCAGCCTGGGTGATACTTCAAGACTCCGTATCAACAAAAGAAAAAGAGGAAAGACCTGAAACTAAGATACTATGAGAAGAAATCAGCAACACAGTGAAACCCCGTCTCTACTAAAAATACAAAAAAAATTAGCCAGGCGTGGTAGCACCTGCCTGTAGTGTTAGCTACTCAGGAGGCTGAGGCAGGAGAATCGCTTGAACCTGGGAGGCGGAGGTTGCAGTAAGCCGAGATCGCACCACTGTACTCCAGCCTGGGCAACAGAGCAAGATTCCATCTCAAAATAATGATAATCATCATCATCATCATCATCATCCTG